TAACAAACATGCAAAAAGAAATAATATGTATTCAGTGGGAGCCGGAAACATACAAATACTTTTGGTAATGTCCGTTGCAACCATTTTGCCCTGTTGCAGTGGCATTACTAATAATTAGTAAAACACATAAAAATAGGAGTGATTTAAAATATAGAAAGAAATGATTAACAACAATTTCTCTTAGAATCACAGAGTTATATAATGGTTTGTGTTGGAAGGGACCTGTAAGATCATCTACTTCCAACCCCCTACTATAGCATCTCCACTAGATCAGGTTGTTCAGAGCCCCATCCAGCCTGGCCTTGAATGCCTCCAGAGACTGGGTATCCACAGCCTCACTGAGCAACCTGTCCCAATGTCTCACTGCCCTCACAATAAAGAATTTCTTCCTAACATCTAGTCTAAATCTATCCTCTTCCAGTTTAAAACCATTTCCTGTTACTGTTACTGATCTGTTACTACATGTGCTAATAAAAAGTCCCTCCCCAGCTTTCCTGTAGGCCCCCTTCAGGTACTGGAAGGCATAAGCATTTAAGTAGCATTCCCTCAGTTTTGTTGCATGACTAATTTCTCCTGTTTTTCTGTTGCTTACGTCAGTTGTTGAGTAATGTTTTTAAATAAGATTTCCTGTAAAGCTGCAATAGAAGTACTCAGGTGAGTGTCATTGGGAGTTTCATTGGCCAATTTGAGACTAAAAGAGCCTTGCAGGTGCTTTCCAGGATTCTGCATGGTTTTATTTGAATGGGCTTTGTTATGTTTTCTAACCCTCATAAAACAAGGTCACAGATATTTTGAGTCCATCTGTATGGTAGTCAGTCAATGGACCGAGGATGAATAATAAGTACAAGATACTTCTTTCATCACACAGAATTAACTCTCATAGTAACTATTTTTTGCTTCCTACTACTGCATCTTAAAGCAAGCAGACAGTGGTATGGCAGGGGCACAGTAGTGTGGAGAGACTAATTCTTATCTTCAGTTCTGGTATGTGTATTTGCATGAGCTTTTAAAAAAAGCTGCAAGGGAGAGTGACAGACATTCTTACAAAGAGAATGAAAATTGCACAGATTCTTTACAATATTCCTTATAATACAGACGTTTTTGATTCTGGAACAAAGTTTTGTAGGGAAATGGTTGTTTCTCCAGTTCCTCAGTGTAAGACACTGCATTTTCTCTTGTACTACAGCCAGTAACAGTCTATGAGACAAGAGATTTCTGGTGATAGTCATGTGCTGTTTTTTATCCCTGGACTCTTAGCACAGACTGAGATGCTGTATAGTTTTATGGGGATAGCTTCATTTCCATCTAAAGGCAGCAAATGACTAACCCTGCATAAGATAAGGTGAGAAAGATAAAGTGCTTGTGAAAAAGGTGATGTATGTCCTTAAATATCCAACCATGATTTAGTAACTTGTGATTTGGAAAAGGCTCAGGTAAACATTTGCTCATGTAACAAATTGTCTTAGTATTAGGTAAAAGAGTTTTGCCAGTGTTTGCTTTCTAGGAAATAAAGTTGTTAGCAGACATCTCCTTGCCAACACTGAAATTGAAGGTAAAAACATAACTTCATAACATTGATCTTGTGTTTATATTTTTTATTTCTTAAATTCGTATATAGAATCATAGAATTGTTTGAGTTGGAGGACACTCTTAAAGGTCATCTAGTCCAACTCCTCTGCACTAAACACTACAGCTACGTGAGGCTGCTCAGAGCCCTGTCCAGCCTGACCTTGCATGTCTCCAGGGACTATCCACCATTTCTCTGGACAGCCTGTTCCAGTCACTCAGACTGTGCTTAGTGTATCTACCATGTAAGATAGATAACTTCTAATTGAGACTAGATACCAGGAAGAAATTTTTTTGCTGTAAGAGAGATGAGACAGTGGAACAAGTTGCCCCAGAAAGGCTGTGAATTCCCCCTCCCTGGAGGTCTTCAAGACTAGGCTGGATGGGGGCTTTGATTGACTTGATGTAGAGGGAAGTGTCAATGCCTATAGAAGTGGAGGGATGAAATGGAATAATCTTAAAAGGTCCGTTCCAGCCCACACCATTCTATTATTCTACAGTTCTGTCCATCTCGCTGTTACTACTGTCATTTCTGTTTAATACAGCACACTGTTAAAGAAATTTGTGAACACCCACGCTGTGCGAAGTGGCATTGTTCAGTGGCTAGTTCCAAATATGCACAGCAGCTGCTTCTGTGTAAAATCTGAAATTATACCGGAATAGTTTGTTAGCTGTTTTAGTGACGTGTTTGCAGCTCTGAAGGACAACTGCTGAAGTGCTAAGAATTCATGAAATGCAGCATATGTTACCATACCCAGCTATCTAAATAAATGGAATTTCAAATAGAGGGATTATGAGAGATTGTGTTTTGTAATGTTTAAAGTACAGTCATGCTCCAGCTTCAAGGCTAATCAACAGTAATGGAAGTACGGTAGGAATGCTATAAATGGTATCACCTCGAGACACTGAACTTACTGTTTGTGCAGCTGCTTGTACTTGGAAGTCATTGTTTAAATACTACAAATCTGCTATATACTTGCATTTTAACTGAGATATGCTGAACATGAATCACCAATGGATTTTGTGGTATTTGCTGTCATCAGAACCATGCTGAAATTCTCTGTTGTGCAGTAATCCTTCACTGCAGAAATCTCACTTACTTCTGAATGTAGTACAGAGGAAAAAGTGTATATATTTGAAGAGATAAGACTTTTTTTTTTTTTTTTTTTAATCCTGGTGTGAGTATTTATCTTGGAGTTTTAATGACTTTAGTTGAAAAAGGAAAATGTCTGTGACTGTTTTTTCTAAAGGTGAAATATCAAGTGAAAACACACTGTACCTACCTGTGAATCTTAATATTACTCTGTTTAAGTACGTTATGAAAATGAAATTTTATGCATACATAGTCAGAGTACTGTGTTGAGTTTAAATTATCTTCTGGAGATGCTAAGTACACCTAAAACAGAAGCCTTTTTTTGCAAGAGAGAAACTGGCATGCACGCACAAATTCCCCTGGCCTCAGAAAATCTGTATTTTTATGAGCTATTGTTATGTTTCTGTATATTAAAATAAACATCTGCTTTTCAGCTACAAACAGATTTTATGGTTTGTTGAAATTTCAGTTGTTTAAAACAGGACTCAGCTAAAACAATTATACTGCTGTTGTGGTAAAAGAAATTATACTTTCAGTGGGAAAATCATATCGAATATACAAAGTTCTGGAATGCTGATAATCTGAACTGTAAAAGTGCTTCAGGTGTCAAATCACAGTGATTGTTGATATCATGGTTGTAGTTAATGAGTTAATCATCACTATCTTTATGGAAGATAGGAAAATGTTAGCTATCTAATAAGGAATATCTTTAAATCAAAGGTTAAGCTTTCCTGTAACAATAAAAAGAGGACAGGCATTCATGATGTGTTATAAATGCTGTGAGACCAGTAATTGCAAAACATTGTTTTTGTTTGCCTTTCTGCAACTGGTATGCTGTGTTTCCTCATTACAGATCTGCTTCCTGCACATTTGTAGACCTGCTCTCTTTTTGCTTTTTTTCCCACTTTGTTTAGTCTGTAAGCTCTTGAATACTTGCTCATGTTTTGGTATATTGTTTGCATGGCAGCCAGCTTTGCTTGTCCTTGGATTACTAAATTCTGTTGCAGACGTTGCTTTTACAAATTGCCTTATGGAAGTGCCATGTAACACAAGCTGTGACATGGTGTACTGTTTAGTGACCTGAAATCTGTTTATCTAATAATATGTGTTACAGTATTTTGGTGCTTGTGCTATTATTTATCTCTGAATCTTGTCAACAATCAAATTGTAATTGACAATCAAAACTGTGTACAGTCACTTGAAATGAGTCCTGATCAAATAGGAATCAGAATATTTTATTCTTGCATTGGAGCAGCCTTAAAGTATATTTAAGTATAAATTTCAAGAGAGCTTTTAATTACTCAGGGATCTACAGAGACTTTTTTCTTTTTCCCTACTGCAATGAGTCTTCCCATACGAGTCATTCATGGAATTAACTTTTTACCAAAAAGAATTTTTTTTTGTGATGTAAAACAAGGTTGTCATTATTAGAGTTGTAGACAGCAGGACCAAAATAATTTGTTTTAAATGAGAGAGCTATTTTCTCTGTTCTGCTACAACTCCCATCAGGTTGTTCATACAAAAAAAGTGAAAAACATCCAGTAGCTAAGGGAGCCCTGAGTTTTATGTGGGTAGCTATGTATTCTCCCAAGCTTCCGTGGGTAAATTTTATATCAGGTGAGTTTGTAGAATCATACAATCGCTGACTTTGGAAAAGACCTACAAGATCATTCAGTGCAATCATTCACCTATCATCAACAGTTCTCACTAAACATGTTCCTCAACACAACATCTAAACATTCCTTAAACACCTCCAGGGTCAGTGACTGCACCACCTCCCTGGGCAGCCTGTTCAAGCACTTGACCACTCTTTTGGAAAAGTAGTATTTCTTAACGTCCAGTTTTGCAGTCCATGCTTATTTATTTCTATATTATTGCAGGGTTGTTTTTCTCTGTTTATTTTACTCCCTATAGTGATGTCACTGTCTTTTTTTTTTTATTTTTTTTTTACTTAGGTAGTTGGTATTCTTATCCCCTTTAAATTTTTTTATTCAGTTTCTTAGAGCAGTAAACCTCTCCACAATGCGTAATTTATCATTATAGCCAATCTTGATTTACATTATGGATTGCTCCAGTGGTATACTCTTCAGTGTATCACAAATACAATTAAAAAAAATTATTTAACCTAAAAAGTTTTTCTGCAGTAGCTATGTTAAAGAAATAGAAGGAGTAAAAATCATTTAGAAGAATCCAGATGTATCTTTGCTGTATATTCAAAGTCTTAACTTGTTAAATTTAAAAAATAGGCAATAAAGAGATACGCTTCAACTTATAGCATTTTTCAAACCTCTACAGAGCATTGTTCCAAGTAAGTATGTTAAAGAACTATCTATCTTTTTAGACAGGAGCAAGTCAGTGTTCTGTATCAGAACATACACATAGTGGAACCAAGATTAATCCAGCCATATGAGCATGTCATTAAGAACTTCATCCGAGAGATCAAACTCCAAAGCACAGAGATGGAAACCTTGGCCATTGCTGTAAAAAGGTATTTTGAGTCTTTCTTCTAGTTCATTTACGCAGTTACTTTTCTGTTTATTCTATCTTGCTGGATTAAAATGCTGTTGATTAGTGACAAAATATGCCAAACAGAATTTTCATAAACAGAGTTCAGAAGTTGTTTACATGCACGCACATTTATGTAAGTATTCCCTGTTCATGTTTTGGGTAGGTCCTGGCTTTGTTCTTACATCTAATGCCTTAAGCATTTTGACTAGTCTTCACATCTGTAACTTTGTGGTTTAGCATCCACTCCCATTACAATTTCATTTTGAAAAACATAGTTTTGCTTTCCCGGCTTCAAGGAGATTAGCTCAGGACAGGATAGATGGTGCAAGTTGCTGTTGTTATTGTCTTACAGCCTTGTCATAAGATAACCAGAGGGGCCTTTTATTTTTGTAATTTAATTTTCGATATGAGGTATCTTTCACAATAATCATATGATATCAGCTATAATTTAAAACCTAATTTGTATGTATTTTCAAACTGCTTTATGATTTTGATTCCCAATCGCATCAGTTTCAAGGTCTGGTCATTGTTAAATGTTTAAAATTGTTTTCATTGTTAAACGTCTTTCGCATGTTTGTCTATCTTATCCATTTCAGCAAATGTATTTCACACAATCTTCTGTCAAGGCACAGGGCAATTTCTAAAACAATATTTACTTTTAAATTTTAGAGCTCAGGATAAAGCAGCAGTTCAGCTCAGTGAGCTGGAAGAAGAGATGGAACAACGGATACAGGCTGCTGAGCAAAAAGTTAAAAAGGAAGTGAGTATTTTTTGTTTGCACAATTTCATAGTGACTAAGCTCTCTGTGGATTTATATAGGATTAATGACCAGATGAGTCTTTGATGCTGCTAGGCTAACACAAAGGCACTGTAAACAGGGCCTGGACAAAAAGAAACTACCCATGAGGTTGAAAATGTATTCTGATAATGCTTACCTAAAGGGGAATGGCTGCTCAGAAATAAAGTGAGAAAAGAAACCAAGCTCTTTTGTAAGATAATTTTCATGCAAAGAAGATTTATTCTGAGAAGAGTATTGGTAACTGATGAGAAAAAAAAAAAAAAAGGAGAAGTAGCATTTCACCAGAAAATGGTGGAATCTGCTTTAATAATGGAAGAATTTTTTAATGCTCAGATCATTTATTTTTCATTTTTTCATCTGACTGAAGCAGTAATCTTTCTTTCACCTGCTGATGCATTCTGATTCTGCAGTTATAGTTTGGAGAATTCTAGAGGAGAGAGGATGTTTGTGATAACAGAGTATGAGGGCCTGGACCTCTCAGTTGATGGAGAGTTCACTTGTTTCAGTGTGATCAGTTTTTAGGTGTTGTTTCAGCTCACTTGCAGTCTTCATGCGAAGTACAAGAATCCTTTTCCCCTCTCATATTGAAAACTTGAGTAGAACCATAAGTGTCTGTCTAATTCTAAGCAGAAAGCAGTATAAGAAAATTGCTCTGCCTGTCTAGCCTGCTTCTTGTTAAAGAATTCCTAAATTTATGTGATATATTACCTGGCTTTGTAGTAAGTGTAAGAGCAACAGTTCATGCAAAGTATTCTAATGTGAATGAAAGAAGTTCACTAGTTAAAATGTGTATTCTAGCTGTGATCATTAATTTGGTAGCAAAAGCTGCCTACTGAACCTTTACATATTTGGTATGTGTTCTTTCACAGAAGCATTTGCAAAACAGGAAGCAATGAAGTGCAGTCAGCCAATGGGGCGAATTTAAATATCTCTTAGCAATTGAGCTGTGAAGGAAAATGGTGTTCTGACAGATTTGCTTCAAATGTTTTTTTTTCTGTACAAGAGGAAACATTCCTCCTGTCAAAGTCTGTTGTTTTCCTAGTAACAAAATACAAAACATAAAAAAACATCCCATCTCAGAAAAATAGCATATGTGTATTTAATTAATTACAATGAAACTTTCAGAACAGAAAAGCTTACTATTCCCATGGAGAATATGCATTTTTATTTAGAAAACATAGGCATTTGCTTTGGAAAATTTCTGATCTGCATGAAGTTGTTAATCATTGGAAAAAGCCCTATAAATCTTATTCCCTACTGTAAAAAGATTAACTGGATGTGTGCATTTGTTGAGTCTGAGAACATCTGCAACATTACACATTAGGTGTGATCCTTATTTAAAGGCTGTTACCTATTATCTGTACACAGTTTATGTTTTAGTTTCTAAAAAGGGCCCTCATGATGCAACCAAATGCCTTGTAGTTTGCAGTGATTAAGCTAGATCTAGTCTTTGGATTGAAGTGTAAAGAAATGTCAGGGCAGCATGTTGCAGATTTTATCAGTGTTAGTTTTCAGATTGTCACTGAGCTGGGATGGGGTTTTCACACCTAGAATCAAAGATGGGCTATGACTTGTTTCCCGCAGTGCTTTTCTCATTTTCAGTCATGTACACTTTCTGTAACTCATAGCTCCTCGTACTCCACCTCCTAAAACGCCCTGAGAGTAAATGTAAGATATTTACTTTGTGGGATTGTGCTCAGCCGTTAATCTTACAGCCTGTACTCATGACCATTGTTTGCTAGAGTGATCTCACGCCACAGTGACACCTGCCTCTGTGTAATGGTATCTTCAGCATGAGCCTATCCTCTGTTTTATTTCTTCAGGGAAGCAAATAGTTACCAACAATACATAAGAGTCTGGTACAGGGGCCAGCAGCCAGAGAATCCAGTTTAAGCTGATTACTTTGATTATTATTTTAACACACGGATGTCAACATCTGACTGCATTCTGAACAAAGTCCACACCTGCCATCTCTTGTTTGGAAGCACAGCCTGCCAGTCTGGTAGCATGTCCTGCTACTGCCATCTGTCCCCCTGTCCTGCAAACCCAGGAGTGCTAGGCAGAGCTGGGTGCATGCTTTTCCTATCAGTCCTAAAGTCTTTGTCCCAGTCCCACGTCTCCTTGAATTAAAATGATTTCCCCAGTAGTGCAGCTGGTTTAAGATCAACTGCTGTGTGAAACTCCCATGACTAAGGATGCTGCCATTAGCATGTCTTTCACCAAATATGAACCTGTAAAAGTGAAATGCTTGCAAGCAAAACAAAATTGAAGTAAATGAGTAACTAACTAATGGTGGCACAGTAGTGCTATTCCTAGCATGTTGTATCCCAGACCACAAAAGACTGCTTTGAAAGTAAGGGTGCAATGCTGTGACCTGCATGTCTGTCTGTACAGACATCTGTATATATAATACACACCTACATACATGTGAAAATGAAAACTAAACGTTTTTCTTTTGGCTTTGTTTAAGACATTTAAAATGCTAAGTGCAGGAGACCAAAGTGAAAGCAAACACTGAATTCAAGGCTGAACCTGTATCTTTGCTTTTACCTCAATGTTTTGTTTCTCTGAGTATTTTATAAGTGGACTGAAATAGTAGAACCAGTGCCTGTGGATCTACGAAAGGGGTGGTTGACTAAGTGTGAAGACAAAATTACGCACATTAATCTACTGGGAAAAACAAGTTTGGCTTTAAGTTGGTAGATGCATCTTTTAAGAAACATTTGAAGCCTTTCTGAACATTTATTAAAAAAACATATTATAGGAAAAACGAAAAGCTGAAGAAGCACTAAATGAGCTGAAGCGCCAGTATGATACTGAAGTTGGGGATCTTCAGGTGACTATAAAAAAACTTAAAAAGGTAAGTGGCTTGAACTCATGACTTGAAATTTTAGTGTAAGAGATTCTGACCTTATGAAGGGCCTTCTCCAGGATGATGTGCAAAATGTAGCCTTCAAAGTTTACATGCTTAGGTAAATGGCAACTAAAAATAAGTTTTTTTAATGTTGTAGTTCTGTGTTGTTGTACACATTTTGTATAATCTATTGAAATACATAGTGAAGAGACCAGATAGCCAAATTCTCTTGCTAAATAATCTATCAAGATATTTTCACTGCAGTTAACTAGTTTTGTATGTGATACTTTAGAAACATCTAATATATTGCCTCTGATAGTAATTTATAGAACTAGAAACAGACTTGAAAAGTGGGCCCGAGTGAATCAAATGAGGTTCAACACAGCAAAATGCAAGGTTTTACACTTGGGCTGGAGGAATCCTACATATCTATAGACTGGGAGGAGCAGTCCTTGAGAGTAGCCCTGGAGAGAAGGATCTGGGGGTCCTGATGGATGAAAAACTGAACATGAGTCATTAGTGTGCTCTTACAGCTCGGAAGACGAATGGTATCTTGGGCTCCATCAGAAGAGGTGTGGCCAGCAGGGACAGGGAGGTGACTGTCCCTGTCTACTGCTCTTGTGAGGCCTCATCTAGAGTACTGTGTCCAGGTCTGGAGCCCCCAATACAAGAAAGGCAGAGAGCTGTTGGAAAGGGTCCAAAGGAGAGCCACAAAGATGGTCAGGGGACTGGAGCACCTCCCCTATGAAGACAGGCTGAGGGAGCTGGGCTTGTTCATCCTGGAGAAGAGAAGGCTGCAGGTGACCTCATTGCAGCCTTTCAATACCTAAAGGGAGCCTATAGACAAGAGGGAGTAAACTCTTTGAAAGGGATATCATCAGGACAAGGGAAAATGGTTTTATGTTGAAAGAGGGAAGATTTAGGTTGGATGTCAAGAAGACATTTACTATGAGTACCATGGTAAGGTGCTGGAACAGGCTGCCCAGAGAGGTTGTGGATGCCCTGTCTCTGGAGGTGTTCAAGACCACAATGGTTGGGGCCCTGGGCTGCTCAGTATTAAATGTGGAAGTTGGCAGCCCTGTCTGTTGCGGGGGTGCTGGAGCTTGATGATCCTTGAGCTCGCTTCCAACCCAGGCCATTCTTTGATTCTCTGGTAGATGAAATTGGCAATTTCGTCTACCAAAAACATCATCAAAAATAAATGCAGTATATTGAACTAATATAGTGTTTTTGTCAGTGAGCACATTTCTTTCAGTTCTTATGGTTAAGTTTGAGCTCTAATTTCAAACAGAAATTACTACTGGAATTGTTAATACTAGTCTAAATCTAATTTCTAAATCTAATCCCAACCTTATTAATTCAAAGCCCGATTGAAAGGTAAATTGACATCTTAGATATGAATATAAATTTGACCAGAATTTTTGCAACCATTGAGGATTTATTCTTATTTTTTTCACATTGAATTGAACTTAGAAGAGCACTGATAGAAATGGAAATTTCTCACGAGAAACATGAAAGCTTTTAATAAATTCACTGTACAGAATTGACAGTAGATGAAGTAATATATACATATATATATATGTTAGTAGAGATACAGCTGTTACTGTCTTCTCAATTGCTGGGTTTTGTGTTCCAAGTTGTACACATTCAGTACCTGTAGCAAATTCCAGAGTGCAAAGTAAAAATTAAGTATTTGTAATGCTTTAATGTAAAAAATTGTACAGAAGAACAGAAGTTTTTGGAATAATGCTCCCTACTCATAAAGCTGGGAATACTGTTGATTTTTAAATCTTTACTAGCTGTAACACATTCTTGGGGTTATTTGATATGATTTCAATTACATTTTATGTATTTTGAATGACAATAATCAAGTATGTACGTTAATTGGGTGATATTATAATCCTTGTAGGTTGAGGAGCAATCCAAAAACATAAATAGCAGGGAAGATGTGATTGAACTGAAAAAGAGAATACATGATATGTTGTTGGTAAGAAGTGTTTATCATTAATACATTATTATTAAATATTATAATAAAATCATTAATTTAGCTTCAGTTTTATTCTTCTTGCAATACAGATTTTTTTTTCCTATTTAATATTATTTAATAAATAATTAAATTTAAATTAAATGCATAATTTAACAAGTAAGAAAAGAGAGCAACTTTTCTGAAGTTTTTCTAAAGTTATTGATACCTATATGAGGATCTCTAACTTCAAAAAAAGAGTTCTATATAATGTTTATGCACATTCTAGGTATCACATTTAGAAACGGCTTAAAATGGTACAGTCCCATTTTTGTGGAACTGTGAAATCCAAAAATCAAATTTCAGTGAATCTTGCCTACTGGTTCACTGAGTTCTCTGCTGTTTGATTTTCTTTTCCCATCTCTGCTGAGCTTTCCTAGTGTTTCATTTTTATGTGTTATGTTGGTTTTTTATTTAAGCGTCACAATATAATATGCCAGCATTTTATGGAGGTGATTTTGACAGCTAATATTTAATATCTTTCTTTTATACAGGAAAATCAGAAACTTAAGAAAGACCTCTTAGAAGCACAAACAAATATCGCTTTTCTCCAGAGTGAGTTAGATAGCTTAAAAAGTGAATATGCAGATCAGACTTTAAACACAGAAAGGTAAATACTTTTACTTCATTACCTTCACCAGGAAAAGAATCTTTTGTTTCATGTTGTTATAATGTATTAAGCCAGTAACTTATTCTCTAAATTTGCCATAGACAGGTGAATATTTGACACTATATAAAGTCTGCCATGACTACTGTTCATTGTGTTGTCAAATATGTGAAAGAACTATGTCTGTACATAATGCAAACACTCAAAATTGTTCAAGGAAATCTAACGGGTATTTCAGTTAGGAGTACAAGTTTTTCCCTCCATGATTTTCAACCTGAAGAGTATCTCTACAAATATTAGCAAAAATAGTTTCAGAAGCCTTCCACATCCCTTTCAGCTAGTTCATCTAGAGCAAATAATTGCTGCTTCTAGACATTCAGGTTGATTTAGAAGAGTCTTTATGACAATGTTACTAAACAGTTGTCTTCATATAACATAAAAGGTATTTCAAGAAGCAGTGCATCCTTTCATGTGATTATTTCACTGATCATAGAAATCATAGAACTGTTTGAGTTGCATAGGCCGTCTAATGCACTAAACAGGGACAACTACAGCTAGATCATGTTGCTTAGGGCCCCATTCAGCCTGACCTTGAAAGTCTTCAGGGATGGGGCATTCACTACAATTCTGGGCGACCTGTTCCAGTGCTTTACCACCATTACCATAACAAACTTTTCTTACACCCATTCTAAATCTCCCCTCTTTTAGTGTGAAATCATTTGCCCTTGTCCTATCACAACAGATCCTGTTAAAGAGTCTGTTCTCTTTCTTCTTATAGCCTCCTTTATACTGAAAGTCCACTTTTCAGGCTCTATCTCTGTTGAAACCATGACATCCTCTCAAATCAAGGCATGCTGTGACAAGGCTGAAGCAACTGACTTTTAGCTTACTGAACTTTGGATGCTGCCCCTCATCTTGTGGGCCCATGGGATGCCCAAGGCATATCTGTCCAGCCCAGGTCGAACCCAATAACTCCACCCTGCACCCCTCACCTTTATTTTTCATCAACAGTTTTTGTTGAGATGTATTGGCAGAGATCAATGAAATTAGAAAATGATTTTATTTTGTGTAAAAATGCTTTTACTGTATTCTAGAAAGCAGAGATCTATACACTGAAAAATTTAATTCAGAAATACTTTGAAAAAGTCTGTTGTGTCTAACACAAAATTAATTGAAAAAAAAAATTTCTATGAAATGTAACTTTATTTTTTATTTTTATTTATTTATTTATTTATTTATTTATTTATTTGTAGAGACCTAGAAATGATTCGGGAGTATACTGAAGACAGAGATAATCTGGAAAGACAAATTGAAATACTTCAGTAAGTTCTAAGCTGTTCCAATGTATTTTTAAGAAACATAACCTCTACATAGGCACAGGTGAACATTTCTATAGCTCTTTGAAAGACTGAGATGAGATTTGGGAAAAATTATCAAGTACTAAAATGGCTTCAGTTCTCACAGAAGGTAGTTAATTGATCTATATAATTTCATCTTACATTTGCATTCTGTATACTTGAGACAGGCAGAATCATAGAATCATAGAAACACCAAGGTTGGAAAAGACCTCCAAGATCATCCAATCCATCTACCCACCTGTCACCAATAGGCCTTGGATTAGTAGAAAATGGTGCTTGTCTCAGCTGTGCTGACACACCAGCATGACTACAGTGGAAAGCACTGGCTTCCTTTCGTTATGGATGAAGCAGGAAATACAGCCCTTAGAATGACTTGGAAAAATATGGGCAAATTACTAGAAGTCATTTAGAATGCATATTCCCAATAAGAGATGAAAAATACATTGCTGCAATGGGGATGGATCATCAGCACAGACAAACCCAGTGCTTGGGACAGGGCACCTGCTGAGGTCAGGTCTGTCCACACAAGGCCAGCTGCTGCTGGTTGCTGAGCCCCTTGCTGCCCAACTCTCCGACACCACGAAGCTAGGCTGTCTCCCATCTGAGTTTTGTGTTTCTCTCAGATGTTTTTATTTAAGCTTCTCATTTCTTCAAAGAAAAAAAAGATGTATGAGATTCCTCTTCTACAAATACATTTAGAAGGGTGAATTCATTTGGAATGGTTTTAGTTGCCTTTCTGATTTTTCCTTTTAGCCTAACATAGTTGTGCACCAGGCAACTACTGTACACTCCAATTTTTGGTAGCCTATCCATGTTCTGTTCATGCCTTCTAAAAACGTATCTATTTTTTTCTCACTTCTAGTTACTGAAAGACTTAGGAAGACTTTATGGCACATTTTTTACGTTCAGTCATTTGTTTAAACAAAATTTCTTATCCCACATTAACCGTTACCATTCATCTACGGCAGAATAAAACATTTTCTTTTAAAATGCATATTTTTTTTCAAATTTTATTTGCTTAATTTGTATAGTTTTTAAGTTTAATTTGTTATACTTTTATAAGTTAAACTATATTTCCTTGTTAGATCAGCTAATAGAAAACTACATGACAGCAATGATGGTTTAAGAACTGCACTTGAAAACAGTTTCAGCAAGTTCAACAGATCATTGGTATGTAATTACAATTTTGCTATGTGTTATGAGTAGCTGTACTCAGCAAACTGAGCTACATTCAGTGATCTTTCTGTGGGAGTACATTTGTGTGGTTGGATTTCAGTAGATTTTAAAGTGCAACAACAAAGCTTTTTCTCCAGCAAAGTTTTAGATGCTTTAGAAAATACTGAATTTGTAACCAAATGTATCTGGTGTGATGAACAGGTTAGCAGGTTCTTTCACAGCAAAGGAAATGTGTCTGAATTATCCACATGGGAGCTCTTTAGCGCTGAAAACATACATTTCTAGAAAACTACCTTCTTTGTAATTGATCTGAATCCAACTTCAACTTCTGTCCAGGCAAGTCAGTGGGATAACAACTAACAGAAACTGTTGATAGTGGGGATCTCACCTCAGACCTTTTGTGCTTTTTTGGACTTTTGGGGCCTTTTTGAAACTTTTATAGTATTAGAAAGCCTTCTAAACTTTAAAACTATTAATTGGGCAAACTCCTGAATCACTGGAAGAGCAAGTAACTGTTGAAAAATAATTTAGACAGAATAATGGTTCTACAGTAACAGTACTGGACAGAAAGATTGAAGATAGAATTTTCTTCTGACATGCCCCAAAACATACACAAGGAAAGCAAATTCTATCTCATCTAGTGACATTTCTTTTTCACTCTAGTAGACAACACATAATCAATGTATAATAATAATAATCAATCAATAATCAAATCAATTTCTTTTTTTTTTTTTTTTGATGGTTGAATGAGGCCAGCAAGTCCAGCGTCCAGCATTAAGGCAACAATGGAACTTAAGTGGTGCATGTGGTAGCCTTTGGACATCTAGTCCTGTTTAAAGAATGAAGCTTATTTAAAAATAAGTGGATATACATGAAAATGTACAGTAGTCATTTTGTCGATAAACACTTTAATCATGATGAATTTGATGTTTATATTATGTTCATAAAACTTGTTATGCACTTATTATTTATCTATTGCAGCGGTTAGCAAATACCTCACCGGGAAGTACTATTTCTAGAAGCAGTCCCAAATGTAGTGGTGGACAGTCTCCTCTGAACCCGCGTTATGACAGGTAAGCCAGATTTGCTTCTACTAAGTTTAAAAAGACTAGGTCATCACGGTGTCTTAGAAGATCAAATACTGTTAAACAAAAGAGAAAATAATTCTTCCTGATCTAGAAGAAATATGTAGCAGTAGCACAAGATCCATAGTATGGTGAATTCAACAGCAATGTTTTCAATGACATCAGCAAGTTCAGGAAAATTTTATTTAGTGGTAATGGTGAGTGGTGAATGGAGAATTCAGACAACCTCTTGATGTTTTTAGTTTAAGTCTAAATGTCCCCTCCTTCCTCTGTTTCATACGTAACAAATATTGTTACTGGTCAGAGCACCTTTGGGCTCACACCTACTGAATGAAAGTCCTTGAATCATGGAATCATAGAATCGCTCAGGTTGGAAAAGACCTTCAAGATCACCAAGTCTAACCGCAGCCTAACCAAACTACCCTACCTCTAACAAATCATCTAACTAAATCATGTTCCTGAGCACCATAGCCAGAAAATTTTAAAACACATCCAAGGCTGGTGACTCAACTATCTCCCTGGGGAGCCTGTTGCAGTGCTTAACAACCCTTTCTGTAAAGAAGTTCTTCCTGATATCCAACCTAAACCTTCCCTTGTGCAACATGAGGCCTTTTCCCTTTGTCCTGTCACCTGTCACCAGTGAGAGGAGACCAACCCTGCTCTCACTGCAATCACCATTCAGGTATTTGAAGAGAGCAATAGGGTCTCCCCTCAGCCTCCTTTTCCCCAGACTAAATAGCCCCAGTTTCTTCAGTCACTCCTTGCAGGGCGCTTTCTCCAAGCGCTTCACCAGCTTTGTTGCCGTTCTTTGATGAGATCATATTCAGGTCATTGTAGAGGCTCTCACTGATACCACAAAGATCTGGATTCAACTTCGAGTGCTTTAGATCATGCTATTTTGTGAAATTTTTATTTCATTTTTGTTATTTGAAATAACTGGAAATACCATTAAGAATTTGTGTCCATATTCAATTCATAAATTCTTTTACCTTACTCTTTTTGTGTTACTTCAAACCTTACATTGATAGTAGCCGATATTTTATGTTTTTCCAATGAGACAAAAATCTTTAGCAGGGATTAAGTTGGCTTCTGCTTTGCAGTAAAAATATCCACATTTGTTCAGAAGTGCTATTCTACTATCTCTGTGTGTTTGCAGGCTATAAAATTTTGCTAGTAACAAATTGATCTCTTCTGTTAAATGCGGATAATACCTGTTTCCCTCTGTTGAGAAATTTTGAGAGATGCAATCATATCAAAGTTGTATATTAGATTGAATAATTTTCTGAAGTTCAGGAAAAATTAACTAAAATCTCTCTGGATGTTTAGAATATACAATCACAGAATATCCCAAGTTGGAAGGGATCCACAATAATCATCAATTCCAATCCCAGGCTCCACAGAGGGCTATTCAAACACCAATAATCTTTCACATGTGACAGCTCTGGGCCATGCCCACTACCCTGGGCAGGCTGTTCCATGCCCGCTTCTGTTCCGCAGAACTTGTTCCTAACCCCCAGCTGCCCTCCCCTCATGCATCTCCATCGGCTCCATCGGCAGAGCTCAGCGCTGCCCCTCCACTCCCTGTGAGGAGCTGCAGCCGCCATCAGGCCTCCCCTCAGCTCCTCTGCTCTGGGCTGAGTGCACCCAGAGACCTCAGCTGCTCAGAATCATGGAATCACAGAACTGTAGGGGTTGAAGGGGCCTCTGGTGATCATCCAGTCCAAATGATATGATGCCAACTTAAACCAATATGAAATAGGAATTTTCTCCCTTCCTGGACAACCAAAGTACACAGCTCCTCAGACGCTGTGCCATCAGACCCTTCTGCATTTCTGTGGCCCTCCTTTGGACCCTCTCTAATAGCATCTTGTGTTGTGGCACCCAAAGCTGCATCCAGCTTGTGAGGCTACACAGCACAGAGCAGAATGGGGCAACCGCTTTCCTCACCTGGCGCTTTTGGTCCTGATATGCAGATCTGGTTACGAGGCCTCACTGTTGGCTCACATTCAAATTGCAACCAACCAGAACACAATAATTCCTTTTTTAAGTGCTGTTCTCCAGCCCTTCACTCCACAGTCTGCACATAGAGCCAGGGCTGCCCCATTCTAGATGCCCAACACTTGCTCTTTCTCATGCCGAGAGTCACCACCCTCAAATTTGTCCAGATCTTCCTGCAAGGCCTTTCTACCCCCAAGGAAGTCAGCGCTCCTATCAGCTTAGCACCATCCACAAATTTACTTATTACAACTTCCATATTCTTATTGGAATCAACAGTGAAAACATTAAAGAGAAATGGCCTTAAAATGGAGCCCTTCATAATCCCATTGGTGACAAGCAGGGCAACTCTCAGGCCATAGCCTCTCCTCACCCAATACAGCCAAGTTCTGGTTGTCATGGGACAGATGCCATTGCCATGGGCTGCCAATCGCTATAAATACAGGGACCCTGACAACAGGACACCACTTGCTGAAAATCTTGTGGTGAGGAAGCACAGGCTTGAGATTAGGAGCTCCTTAGATAGACCCTTCCCTCCCACTGTGGGAACTTTGTCTTCTAGAGAGCAGCAGCAAGCCTGAGCCAATGGAAGTAGACCCACCAGAAAGTGCTGTTAAGCCCATAGAGGTGACCTACCTGCAGAGGATGAACTGATAGATCCAGCTCCATAAGGCCCGGGCAAGCATTATGCTTGTCTGAAGACGTCGCTATATCCATTGGCAGCGCAGCAGACGTTCTCGATTTCCATTCGACACTGAAGAGTCACCATTCGCCAGAGAGTCCCTGGGCCCCTGCTGCCCTCTAGAACTCCTTCTTCCCTACCCCCATCCTCATTCTTCCTCAAGACCTCTCACTTAGTTTAGTAGTGTCTTTCCAGGCTACTTTAGAAGAGAGTTTATGTGGTAGGAATAAAACTTAATGGCCATGATTAGGCACGTTATTAGAAATGATTTAGTAGTGTCAAAAGACAAAAAGAGATGCATCTCAAAATCTGCTAGTTTTCAATAGATTGTCACCTGATAGCAGATTATCATTTTGAAATATTGATTTGTATTCAAACATCTTATAAGTGATTTACATTAGTAAGTACCTTTTTTCTTCTTTAGCTGTGCAATGCACCTAGATCTAACTTGCTTGAAGTGCATATGAAGATCCTAGTAATGAATCCCTGCTTCAGGGAGGCTGAAAATTCACTAATAAAGGCTTTTATTTCAGTGAATGCCTATCAAGCTTATAGCATGCACCTTTCATTTGTATTTCACTGATTTGCTATAGGCTAGCAGGTAGGTGAGCATAAAATAAAAAACCATAAAGAGCATGAATACTGTGATATTTCACGACAAAGATAGCATTTGTTCCTTTCATTATTCATTACCCTGCAAATATGAAAATTAGACAGTTCAGCATGTTATTGCATGGTACAATGAAGTCCCTAAAAACCATATGTTTTGGCTCTTCTGTGGTGTGCACTGTAAGGACCCAGCCTCTCTGGCAGCAATCTTTATAGACTGTATTGATATTGTCTATTCTAGCAGTGAGGTACTTCTCATCTGTTCCCATAAGACAGAGCGAAACTGATTCTTTTTGGCATATAAATTAACAAACATTATTACAGAGATTTATGCATTAAGTTTGTAATCTGAGTATCAAGAACTGTGTTTAAAAAAAAAAAAAATTATAAATGCAAAATAAGTTAGTACCATATGTGTTAAATGTTATAGTTAGCATTTGTAGGTGTTCAGCATTCTAGAATGGTGTAGATTTTGTTGGAAAACAAAACAAAACAAAACAAAAACAAGCAAAACCAAAACAATTGTGAAAGAAAATTTATTTGTTCTATTGTTTTTATTTTGCAATGCTTGCTTTGTAGGTCATCTCCATCTTGTATGGATGAAGATTATGATTCTTTAGCCCTTTGTGACCCAATGCAAAGAATAAACTGTGAAGTTGACAGCTTACCTGAGAGCTGTTTTGACAGTGGTTTGTCCACCCTGAGAGATTCAAACGAGTATGATTCAGAGGTGGAATACAGGCATCAAAGAATTTCTCAAAGACCACAGTGTATGCAAGAAAACTATGGCGGTGATGCTTCTGATACAGATGTAAGTATTAACTGCCTCACTAGGAAGCAGCTTGGAGGCAAGAATGAGATGGATATTTGCCGATTGACCATATAGAACTGAGTATGTGGGTTATATGTGTTTTTTTTTTTGTTTAATAAGCTTTGAAATTATTGCCTTTTTTTCATCAACAGTGGCCTTGAACACCTCCAGGGTAGGGTCATCCAGAACTTTTTTGGGCAGGCTGTTCCAGTGCTTCACACCTTTTCTCCAACTGAAGGATTTCTTCTAACATCTAACCTAAACTTCCCCTTTTTCAGGTTAAATTCCTTCCCCTTGTCCTATCACTATATACCTGTGTGAAAGGCTAATCCCCCTCCTGTTTCTAAGCTTCTTTCAAGAACTGAGCAATCTCAGTGAAATCTTCCTGGAGTCTTGTCCAAGTGAAACAATCCTGGTTCCCTCAACCTTTCATAGCAGAGGCGCATCAGTCCTCTAATTATCTTTGTGGCCTTCCTCTTGACCCTCTCCAACAGCTCCACATCCTTCCTGTGCTGGGGACCCCAGGCACAGTGTTCCAGATGGGGCCTCACAAGGGCAGAACAGAGATAGACATTCGCCTTCCTCTCCCTGCTGGCCACCTTTCTTTTGATGCAGCTCAGGATACCATTGGCCTCCCAGGCTGCAAGTGCACCCTGCTTGCACATTTAAAATTTTTCATCTACCAGAACCCTGAAGTCCTTCTTGGCAGGGCTGCTATCAACGAGTTCATCTCCCAGTCTGTACTTGTATCTAAGATTGCCCCAATTCTTGCACTTGGCTTTATTGAACATCATTAAATTCTCGTGATCCCACTCTTCAAGCCTGTCTACATTCCTCTGAATGGCATCCCTATCTTCTGTTGTATTTGCTGCACCACTCAGTGTCATCAGCAAAATTACTGAGGATACACGATCTCACGGTCTAAGTCATTGATAAAAATCTTGAAAAGCACTGATCCCAAGACAGAACCTGAGGGGTGCTGCTTGTGACTGGTTTTCCAACTGGATATAGAGAAATTGATAACAACTCTGCCTACAAGCATCCAGCCAATTCTTTATCCGCTTAGTAGTCCACTCTTCAAATCCATCTCTCTCCAATCTAAAGACACGACTTCATGTAAGACTGTGTCAAAGGTCTTGCATAAGTTCAGGCAGTCTACATCAGTTGCCATTCCTTTGTCCACCAATGCCATCACTCCATAGTAGAAGGCCAGAGAAGTTTGTGGAACCAAGAAGTTCATATTCAGAATTTGCTAGTGTCTTCACGATACAAAAAGGAGCATGTAGGAGAATACTGAAATGCATCCTCTATATGAGTTGTCCTTTGAACTTGCTGTTGAAGTAGTTATTAGTGTTATTTATTTGGTTTAGAGAGTATGTGACTTAAGACAGCTGTTTAAATTCTCACAAGGAAGAAGAGAAAAATCAAAGTTTCAGCCGGAATTGCACAGTTGAATTAGGTTTGTTATTTAATCCAAACTGCTGAAAAAAGGTTTCAATCAGTTTTAGCTGTATCATTGCAAGCAGAAAACGTATTTTTGCACTGAACTTAACATGTTGACTTATACTTCCAGGTTCCTGAGATCAGGGATGAAGAAGCGTACAGTCCTGATAACAGCAGTACAATATTAGACTGGAAATCCTCAAGACCAGTAAGTCGAAGCAGCTCAGTTGCTTCAACAAGGAAATACATATCTGCTCTGACTCCTCAGGTAACCAGTTCTCTAGGAAAAAAAACAAAACAACAAAACAAAAAAAACCAAGCAAACAAAAAATGAACTGTATTTTAATTAGTTTTATATGAGATTAATCAGGTGTTTTTATTTTTTTTTCTTTTCCTTTTTTTTTTTTTTCTTTTTTTTTTCAGTCAGATGCAACAGAATGTACTCCAAAATATCCAAGTTCAGAGAAGGCTTATAAGATTGTTCTTGCTGGAGATGCAGCAGTGGGAAAATCTAGTTTCCTTATGAGACTTTGCAAGAATGAATTTAGAGGCAATACCAGTGCAACCCTTGGTACTGTTGTTGTTCTTCTTAAATACTAAATTGAATATTACTATTGTTATACAAAGGTAGTGGATGAAAAGATTACCTCCTATGATTGCTGGGTTTTTCTAAGTATACTTGCAGTCTTCAGATGGTGAGAATTAAAGCATAGAACTGACAAACTGGTTTTTGGAGTGGATAATGGGATAGAACTCTGATCTAGTCATTCTTTGTGAAGCCCAAAGTCTATTGCTGAGCAAATGAAAGTACCAATAAAGGGAGTTTCAATGAACTTAGAATTTATGTCCAGGCTTTTTCACAGTATTTGTGGCCATCTGGTCTTCTCATTCTTTAGTCTTGCACAATATTCTTTGATCTTATATTGTTCTTTATCTCCATTTCTTCAAAATGTCATTGAAGCTGGAGGGATTTCTGACTGGCTTATTGTGTATATTTTTCTAGCGGCCAGATGACAAACCTGACTTACTGTTTCCAAAGACTGAATTCTGCTTTCTAATCTAGTCATAGTTGTGTATTTGTTTTACTGACTCAAACTTAGGATTTTTGTTATATTTTTGTTATAATTTATTTTTCCCTTTGTTGGGATTTGAAATAAAGTCTGTCTTATAAAATATTTTCACTTATAGGAGAATTTTGCAAAATGAAGCACAGATGGAACTTGTTTGTTGATCATAATGCTAAATTTGTATCAATGTTTCTGGGAAAATATCTGGTTCTAATATTCCTTTAAATGTTTTTCTAAAGACAAATTAAATATGTATTTTTATATTCAGGTGATTATTGCAGTTCAGCGCTATATGAGTGGATCTGTCGATCTAGTACAAGCCACATAGTTTGAGATAGCTGCTATATCTCTTATATGTAGCATAACTTTCTGTGGATTTTTTAAGGTTGTTGATGTTTTTTCTCAGACTATATAAATTATGCTTTTCAGGTGTCGATTTTCAAATGAAAAGGTTAATTGTTGATGGAGAACCTACAGTGCTACAATTATGGGACACAGCTGGGCAGGAGAGGTTGGTGACTGCCTGCAACTTAAGTCATTTCAGTGTTTCTGTTTTTTTCTAAGTTAAATTTGGATTTTTTTCATCTAGATTTTTATCTTGTTCCTATGTTTGTTCTTACAGATCTGCCTGTCTGATGGTTTATATTTGAGATTACTAAGTATGCAACTAAAGTTCTTCAATTTTCTACGTAGAATTTTCACGAAATCTTATATCACTTACTTGCCGAGCCATTACTTTATTGACATCTTGTAGGGCTCATTACAAGTTTAATCTAAGATTTTGGAAGTCATAAAATCATAGAATCACCAAGGTTAGAAAAGACCTCTCTGATCATCTAGTCCAACTGTCTACATATCACCAATATTTTCCACTAAACCCTGTCCCTCATTGCAACATCTGAATATTTCTTGGAAACCTCCTGGATCAGTGACTCCACCACCTCCTGGGCAGCTCTGGGAGTGCCTGACCACTCTCAGAGAAGAAGTACTTCTGAATATCCCACCTGAACTACCTCTGGTGTAACTTGAGTCCATTCCCTCTAGTCCTATTGCTAGTTACATGGGAGAAGAGGCCAACTCCCACCTCACTACAACCTCCCTTCAGGTAGTTGTAGAGGGCAATAAGATCACCCCTGAGTCTCCTCTTCTGCAGATGAGATAATCCCATCTCTTCGAGCTGGCTTGTGCTCCAGACTCTTCTCTGGTGTCACTGCCCTTTGAACATGCTCCAGGGCCTCAGTGTCTTTCCTGTAGTGAGAGGCCTAAAACTGAACGCAGTACTTGAAGTGCGACCTCAGCAGTGCTGAGTTCAGAGGGATGATCACTTCCCTGCTCCTTCTGGTAATGCTCTTTCTGATAGAAGCCAGGATGCCATTGGCCTTCTTGGCCATTTAGGCACACTGCTGGCTCACATTCAGCTGAGCATCAACTAATACCCCTAGGTCCATTTCCTCTACACTATCTTCCAGCCACTCTTCCCCAAGCCTGTAGCATTGCTTGGGGTTGTTGTGGCTAAAGTGCAGGACCTGCACTTGATCTTGTTGAGCTTTATTTCGCTGACCTCAGCCCAGCAATCCAACCTGTTCAGATCCCTCATTAGGGCCTTCCTGCCTGAGGCAGATCAACACTTCCTGCTGACTTGATGTCATCTGCAAACTTTCTGAGGGTGCACTCAGTGCCCTCACCCAGGTCATCAGTAAGATACCGAACAAGACAAATCCACGTCATTTTTATCTGTTCAGTGGCAATGCTCTGTACTGGTCTGTGTATATTTACTTTTACCTAAAAGAGTGCTTATGAGACAAAGGAAGTTGGAGACACATTTATTCTCCTCCCACGTAATAAATTTGTGAAGAATATTATAATGTGTAATGTAATTACTTAGTTGTTGTACAGCTGCTAAGTAGACTCTCCTATGTTAAAAGATGATTATAACTGTTGAATTAATTCCTGGAGTTAATTCCTGGAAGTTTACTGCTTCATATTTTTTTCAAATGTAGCAGAGTAATCCACTCTGCTACACTCTGCAGTGTAACTCCTTAGCCTTACACAAGTCTTTCTTTTCCCTTGAAAGATTCCGAAGTATTGCTAAATCGTACTTCAGAAGAGCAGATGGTGTCTTACTCTTATATGATGTAACATGTGAAAAAAGCTTTCTTAATGTGCGAGAATGGGTTGATATGATTGGGGTAAGTATCTTAAATATCTGCAACTTTAAAACTATGTTTCATTGCTCTAATGTCTGACTGACTCTAATGTCTGAAAAAAGGTTTGGAAATCTTATTCTTTGCTTTAGAATTCCAGAGACCTTTTAGATTGTTTTGTTTAATAGGTAAAACTTGTGTAACTCAGGAATTAGCCAAACTGCAGTCTCCTGTGTAAGTGCAAACTAAATGGAAATTCTAATTTATTAAAGTATATTCTGATATGCTTAGTGTAAAATGAAAGCAGTTTTAATATGAAAGATCATCACTGTTCCCATTCACTTCCTTTTGGAAGAAACATGAGAGCCCATTTCAGATACCTTCCTGTGGATTGCTTGACTATTCCTTGGAGCTCCTGCATTTTAAATCAGTATATTAAATTCTTTAAACTAGCTATTCTCCAGCTGAAATTTTCAGTATTTCTATCTGCTACTACTTGCTTATTTTAATACAAATTTGTATTTGATGAAAAGAATTTTTCTATTGTGCCACAGTTGTTTAATTGGAGGGAAAATGTAAACAAAATTCCTCTTCTTAAGGCTTTTTTTTTTTTTTTTTTAAATAGTAAAATAGAAGTTGATCTCTCTTCCCACAGTAGTTTTATCATAAAGCATTTAGATATGATAACTATTTCTGCTAGAACATTAAATTCATGGTTGTGTAACAGAGTTTATGAGTATGGATGCATATCTCTGCAGGCTGATGTTTAAACTGGCTTCTTGAAGTATGTACTCTCTCTGAACAGTTATGTAACATAAAATAATGTGTTTTTTGGTAGCACAGGAATTTTTGTGGGAAGGAAGTCACTATGACATGAGGCTAGCTAACTTTTTTTATTCTGAGTATTTTAGCAATAAGGAAAAGAAATTTCTTTACAGGATGCAACTCATGAGAATATTCCAATTATGATGGTAGGAAACAAAGCAGATCTTCGCCAAGCAGTTACAGAACAAGGGCAAAAATGTGTACCTATAAGCTATGGAGAAAAGCTGGCTATGGTAAGAACAATGACTATCTTTTCAGTATAAAATGGTTTTTATAACTTAATCTTGAAACTCTGTGAATAACTTGTTCATTTAAATATAAATATCCAAATCAGATCGATTTCAGATGAGTTGGCTTAACATCTTATTTTTCTCTCACAGACTTACAATGCTCTATTCTGTGAAACAAGTGCTAAAGATGGATCTAATATTGTAGAAGCAGTTCTTCATCTTGCTCGGTAAGTAGTAATGTTTCTGTTTTCAATATATTTTATAAAATAGACATTATATATAAATTTACGTATAAAGACATGCATGTACATATTTAAAATTGTCCCAACATCAAGTTCAACAAATTAAATTAGAAAAGGAATGCCATGTTGATTCTATAGAGACGTGCAAAGCAGGTTTTATTCTCAGTGTAGTCAGTGGTTTTGCTTACAAATGTTACATAGTTGTCTTATTTATCGATATTTGAATTAGAACTTAGTTATGGATCTAACAATTTTAAAACTTGGTGAATGAATAATACGTTTAATGGTAGATGGATTTACTTTCTTAATTCTTTCAAATACATAGATCAATTTCTAATACTTATAATTATGCATGTAAGTAACTCTTAATTCTATCATATCTATTAACACATGTTCAGTTTTATTCCTGATCATTCTAATCTCACATATTTTCTTAATGTCACTTTCTCTAAATTATTTAAAATACAGAACTCTGCATTACATCCATTTAGCAATGTGGTATTTCTGTGAAGAATGTGAATCAAACATTACACTTTACAACTTTTCCAAACTGTTCTGTGCTACAGTGTTTTGAAAGGCTGGCAGTAAGAAATCCTCAAGCTCAGATTTCGAAATCAAGGCTACAATTTTGACTATATTCATTTTGTTTTTTGACTTACTCATGCTCATGCTTGACTTACTCATGTGCTCATGCTTACTCATCAAACATTATGACATTTGGTCAGTATTTATTTATTCAGTGTTAAAACTTGGCCTGAATAAAAGTGCTGGCTTTTTGGAGAGCATAATTGCTTCTTCACATTTGGTCTTCAAGAACACATGTATTTCAAGAAAACAACTCAACTGGAGATGCTGCATGAGCACAGGTGTTTTGTTTTTCTGCTAATGTCAAGATTAATTGCTGATTTAAATGTCTAATTTCCAGGAACCTGTGACTTAATAAATTAGAGACCATACTTAACAGTTACATAATTTTAATCACAGTTGGAAAATTCTCTCTAATATTTAAACATGATACATTTGTTTAACTGCCTCAAGGATAAAAATGTTTTGGCAGTTGCAGCATTTCTTTTCAGAACCTCCAAATTTTTTTTTTCTTTGGTAGGTTCATACTTCCTTAAATGCTCTGGAGATCACCTAGACTCTTAGTCTGGAATGGTTGGCTGCAATTTCTTGAATTTAGTAATACTTACACTTTGAAAGAAACATTTCATTTTGAAGTAAAAAAAAATTCTTAAAAAACATATCATTAGAGCAGATAGCCCTCCAGACTAACCTGTTACTTCTTCATAGGATTCCTTTCTCCTATTATTTGTTTTGTTGAATAATGTGATGCTCTGAATTTAAAATTCTCCCACCTTCATGAATTTATTCTACTGATACAAGGAGAACTTAATTATATGTATATGTACATATATATATATAATGCATATACATATACATGTTAGCAAGAAATTCTAGAACTTGCTTTTGAGTTTCTAGGAGGCCTCATCACAGTGGCCCTGTAAAGATACAGAATTTCTCATACGTACACAACTTTTAAGTCTGTGTACAAGATATTCAGTTTGTGTTTTTCCTCTGAGGATGAATTCATACTTGAAATTGCAGTTGTTTAGTTTTTTTCTTCTTTTTTTTTTTTTTTTTATTTTCAGCTTTGAATATAACCTTTTATAGTAATATACTGAAGCAAAAACATTAAAGAAAAATGAGCAATAGAAAATAAAAGGGAAAAAAGAACATTATGGAGTTCTTACATATCAGAAACCATATGTACAGTGATTTGTATGGAAATATTGATTCAATTTCCTGAATGAAATCTTAGAAGACATGTTGATTCTGTGGACTAAAAAATTGCAATAATATTTTCCTGGGAGTTAGGTGATGGTGAATTGTGTAAGATATACTGGAAGAAACAAAATAGTAAACTTGGGCTTGAATAAGAATACATTAATTAACTGCGTTTTTATTGTGTGGCTGTTTTTTTCTCTTTTTTTCACAGTGAAGTGAGAAAACGAAGTGATAATCAAGATGATACGAGGTCGGTAACTAACCTGGCTGGGACGCCTGTCAAAAAATCAGCACTTATGAAAAACTGCTGCAATGTTTAAGTCACAGACACTTTTCCTGGCATAAGAAGTTTGTATATTAAAAAAAAGAAAAGAAAAGAAAAGAAAAGAAAAGAAAAGAAAAGAAAAGAAAAGAAAAGAAAAGAAAAGAAAAGAAAAGAAAAGAAAAGAAAAGAAAAATGAAGGATTTCTATTATGTATTCTTTTTACTATGTTTTTATACATTTGTGTATTTAGGAGATGGTCATCATGGAAAAAATCCAGACACTACTTTCTACTAATTCATCTTTATATACTTGCTTTGACCCTTAGTCTCTGTTTTCACTCTTCTTAAGCAACAAAATTCAATGAAGTGAGCTCAGAATCAATTCTACAGTAGTCAGTGCATGTAACACTGTAATATATTTTATCTCCTTCACCTGGTATCTTTTTGGGTTTCATTTTGGGCTCCATTTCTTACAGAATATGGTAGGACAGTATCATATATCGCTCATAGGAACAGAAAAAAAGTTCTGCCAAGAATATGAATTAATTTAATTTTTTTTGCTCATATTTGTGTACCCAGTTTGTGTACCCAGGTCTTGACTTACACATTCATGAAAAATTTCCCAAGAAAACCCAAAGCCATTAAAATATCACCCACTTACAGGTAAATCAAGTTGTGGACGAAAAGTGGAATGGTTTATTAGGAGAAGACAGTGGCAGATAAGTAGGCTACTGGTGTAATTTTATCGCAGTAAGTTAGGATTTATTTAAATTGAAGAGTTGAGATTTGATTGGGAACTAAAAAGTAGACTTTATTTCTAGTCCTACACAGCTCAATAGCAAAAGGAACATTTGCATGGACCATTACAGTTCCAAATTCTAAAGAGACCTGTAATACCTGTGATAAGCAGGATGAGATTAAATGATGTTTCAGTACTCTTCTGTTTGTTTAAACTAGATCATTGACAGTGTAATAGAGAGATTTGGATTGTAATTTTCCTGTGTTTTTCAAAAGCTTTTTATTAGACATTAGTTGAGTGATTGTAATGGTACAGAAGAGTCTGTTCTAATGTAAATTCTTTATGCATTTTTCAGGTTTTAGGTGAAATAATTATTGCACACGCACAAGCATCTGTATGAACCGTTCATTGAAAGGAACTGCTGGAGTGAATGGCAGCCAACTATGATAATGAGAATATTGTTGCCTGACTGTAAGAAATTTCCAAGATACGCAGCAGTAAATGGTATTTTTAAGTGCAGGTGTTTCTAAGATCTGAGTTATTATTGCTTGTCTTAGTTCCCAAAATTAATGTAGTAGAAATTGTAGATATTTCTGTCATCATCAGTCACAGAATTGTAGACTCGTGGAATGGCTTGGATCGAAGGGGACCTTCTGCCCTAGGCAGGGTTGTCACCCACACCAGATCAGGCTTCTCAGGGTCCCATCCAACCTGATCTTGGATACTTCCAGGCGTGGGGCATCCAGACCTACTCAGGGCAATGTGTTCCAATGTCTCACCACTCTCTTAGTAAAACATTTCCCCCTAACAATGAATTTGAATCTCCCATTATTTATTTTAAAAATAAACCACTATGTAAAAATACAAATCCGTTTCCCCTTTTTGATACCATCTGCTGCTCCCAAGAACAGTTTGGCTGTGGTAACTATCAGTAGCTGAATAGATCATATAATTTCAGTCACTGTAGGCTACTGAAAGATCACTGTCTACCTTCTTATCTTCAGCAGCGTAATTCATTGCAGAGCGCCCCTGACAAATGTGGCTTTCAGATATTTGACGTTATCAGTGTGTGTGCATGTGCAGTAATTCCTTTCACAGCCAAGGTTCTTTTCATGCAGAATGGTGTGTGAAGGGTTGATACCCTTTGGTATCAACCCAGGTTGAAGGGCGTGAGTTCAGAGACTTACTTTTTCTCTCTCCTGGATTGGGCCCTAGGTATTTTGGATACTTTTTCTCATTTATTTTAATGAGCAAAATATATCTTGTGTTCTTTGGCTAAGCTATGTAAAATGAATCGCTTTGTAAGCTACGTAATTTTAATGTGTGTCGTACAAAGCAACAGTGTTTTATTTTTAAATAAGATTCAGGGTTGAAAACTGATAACAAAGTTTTACCTTGGAGTAGTTTTATGATCAATGTACAATTGATTACTGGAAAAAGCACTACTGAATGGGGATATAGCTATAGCTCAGTTTGAACTGTTTTTAAAAACACTGTGATGATCAGCTCCATCAAGTCTGAATATTCACCTACTGTCAGGTAGAAGGGATTTGTGTTAAAGTGAAAGAATTTGGAATAAAAATATTTATTTCAATGTAGAAACAGAAGCATGTATTTATACATGGAAATAACAAATATTTAAGGTTTTCTGTCGTTCTGCTTTAAAAAGTTACCTTGCCTTCTATCTGAAATGTAAAGTGACAAATATCAGCTTTATGCTTGGATACAGTTGCACTATTGTACTTTAAATGTTTTTATTGTTTTACACAGTACTTGAGAACTATTCATTTAACAATACAAAGCTATTTTTTTAGTTAGTGGATGTATTCCCTTAATACATATATTTATTCAGAAAGGAGAGGCTTTTCATGTCTCCTCACAATCTGTAAATATTTTTTTTTTCAGTTGATATGGAAGTATTATTTTGTCCTATATTGTTTTTGACCTTTTCTAATTGTGGCAGAGTGCACATTTCTGAGGCAGGAATTTCTGTTAAGACACTCTGGAAATGTTGGGATCAAAGGAGTGTTCTAACTGCCTTGTGACTTACGTTAGTGCCTTAATGCTGCACGTTTGGTTAATTATTCTTAAATATGTAATTATGGCCTAACATCAATTGAAGGTTTCAGTGTATCTATTTTTGTACTGACTGCAAAATCCTCTTCTGTTTTAGGAAAAATAAGTAACAGTTTTGTATCTGTACGTCTGTTAAAATGTGTTCCATGGAAAATACAGGCCGCTCCTTCAAGGAGCTTCATGCAGACGTGCACTGCTGCAGATGCACAGTTCAGCTAATAGAGCCTGTGCCAGAGCAGGCGGAATAAAGACTTCAGTGAAAGATCCTGATTCATAAACAAAAGGGAGTTAGTTCCTCATATAATTTTCATAGACTTTACAGTCTTTATTATTATAGGAAGAATCTTCCAAGATGTTTCTTACCATAGTAAGTAAAGAAAAAAAAATAAAAATAAAAATCCAATAGCTCATCTTCAGATATCCTTTACCACTGTTTTTTTCCAAATTTGATGTAGCGTGATGCTGTCCCTCTGATCATGTTCAGGCTTCTTATGGTTGAAGAAACTTTTTTACAGCACTAAAGCCTGTAGTATTTTTCTTCTGCTATCAGTATCTGGCCAAATCCTTGCTTACTCACCTCCCTAGGACTGGTAACGTTGTTATTGATCATTGTCTGTTTGTTTTTTTTTTTTTTTTTTTCTCCCACATTTCCTATTTTGTGAGAAAACCTTCCCTGTGGTTAAAAATAATTTGTCTCGGATGTATCCAGAAAGCAGGTGAAAATGCATTATATTGTTTGTAAAATGGAGTCAATTTCCTACTGTTTCTGCCCTTTGAATTAGATCTATAAGGGAGTGTATATCAAATGAATCGTATTAATCAAGTGGCTGAGTAGCCAATAAACACAAGCTGCTGAGGTTACTGCAGTGAAGTGTTTAAAACAGCAGTGTATTTTCTTACTAGTATGGGGAAGAAATTCAGTGCCAATTGCACGTGCCAGCTTTTAATAAAGCAAATATGTGTAATGAAGGCTCTAAATTGTTAAAACTTTAAAAACTTTATATTGTTTACAATCAGAACTGTGATGTGCATCCACTGTAATTTTGTATATTTTTCAAAAGAGCTGCATTCTCCTGTATTGAAAATTACTGTACAATAAAATATACTTCAATAGCTTACGTTCTGTGTTGTATTTTCTTTTGTTGCTCATAGACTGTAGCCTAACATAGCATCTCTGACTAGTCAGCTTTATGCAAGAGTGATGCAAGCAAAAGTACCTCTGTCTGCCGTGACTCTTGACCTCACTGAGCAGTTATCAGTTTGTATCTCTGCTGAGAAATGTCCCTAGCTGTGAATCTCCAACAAGGCTGGATCTTCATTCTTCTTGGGGGTTGGACTCAGTGTTCTCTGGAGGTCTCTTCCAACCCCCGTGATTCTTTGATTCTGGATAGGGATACTTTAACACCTCAGTCTCCACTATTATGTGATAATAGTATCATTCAAAAGAAAAAGATAATAAAAAAGAGGCCCACTGCAAATATTATCTATGTTGGGCTCTGGATTTCAACTGGAAAATGCTTAGGGGTCCATATATCAAAGAAAAAAAGGCCTCCTGAATATAAATAAAATGCTCCTTCAGATAACTCGCAACTTTAAATGTTGATACAAGGGGGACTTAAGAGAAAATTGTCTGCTATCTTCTTACTTAGTAATTCTGAATAGGTACAATACTCCATAAGCATGGTTCTTACTAATTAAAAAAACAGAGAACAACCTACAAGAAATACTGTACACTTTTAAGTTCTCAGATTTACTGGCAGAACTGCTCTGATTTAGCCTGGAAACAACAGTTGCCATTCTTTCAGGGCTAAATCAGAGTAACTTTCAGAGTTTCATCACCTTAGCTCCTTGAGGTGAGTTTAGAGTGGCATTGGCTGGCAGTACACTGTGTACTGTGTATCATTCTTTGACCTTTCTGTCAGTTCTTGAAGAGTTTTAGATTTGTGATATTTTCCTGCTTACTCTGAAGTACATTAAGGTGTTACGTTCTTGTTCATATCAGTTTCTAGTTTAAATGGAATTAGAACAAGAGAGCGTGGATAGGGACAGTTGGTATAGTGTGAGACCAAGTCCTATCCTTCTAAAATCATGCACAACTTTGCTGGTGGCTGGATCTGGAACTGAAGCATGAATGAATAATCTCTGACCAGCAATGGGCTCTGGAAGAATGAAGTAAGGATCTGTGTGGAGGGTCTGTCAATGCCAAAATGCTCTTTGCAATTGTTGGAATCCATTCTTCAGAATAGAGAGCCAATGATTATGACATCAAATTTAAATCCTTTTCTCCTGTATTACTGTAATATATTCTTCCAGTGGCCATGAAAGGTAATTTTCCCTTTTGTAAAATTTGCACAAATTAAAAATTGTTCTTGAAATGGAAATGTTTAGCTATGTATAACGCCTGATACTATCATACAATCAGAAACGATTTTTATATTCCTATAGTAAAGGCCTATATCTTACTGATTCTGTGATCAGTAGGAATTTTTAGTTCATTAACTAGTCATAGAAGGAAAATTAGATGTGCAGCATCAAAGCTATTTGTCCTATTACAAATAATAATACTCACCTTGCAACTTTCTGTTTACACTTTTCTATTTCTTTGTGCAGATAACCACTGACTTTGCTAAGATCTGTTGTTTTCCTTTCACAAAAGATATTAAAAAAAAAAAAACCAACAAAAAAAAAGCATGAAAACAGGAAAAAAATTGAGGACAATCGTGAACAAAGACCTCTGAATGGAGGAAGCTCTCCTGACAGAGTTATTGTTACCTCTGCTTCCCAGCTTCATCTCTATATATCTGTGAGGGAAAATATTGTTTTTACCAGAATAAAGGAGTTATGCGAGAGCTTAGGAGAGAGGAAAAATGAAAAAAAGACCAAAGCTACAACACTGAGAACAGAATATTTACTACTTATTAGCTTTTTTATTTTATTTTATTTTATTTTTTTATGCAGAAAGTCTTTCTCCTTTGGTCTATATCCACTTCTACATACTCTTGATCATTCTTAGGGAACCTTTCCGTTCATATCAGAGGCATATCTTTACAGAGGTGATTGTTACGGGGGTAGTTAGAGAAAATTCTTGGACATTTTTCAACAAATTTATGAGAAAATTTCCTCTTACAAGGTGCCTGAGATTTTAAATGATTTTACTGAATAAGTCAACCCTCCAAATGTAAGCTGCAATAAGTTTGTGCAGAGATTGCTACTTTTGAAAATACTTTTGCTGGTCTTCATTTTACCCCAAACTTGGTATGTTATTCTGATGATATCAGAGAGGTAACATTAAACTTGTCCTCAGCCAGTGCTAAGGGCCATAAACTTCCCATCTCAAACACAATCCATCCCTTCCAATTCTGTAGCTCTTCCCATTCCTAACCATAATCATTGATAAAACTTTTGGAAATGGGAACAAAAATGCACAAGTGAATTCTACTCTGAGAAAAGAATAAATTAACATACTTTTCCACATTAATTTTCAAGTCACCTGAAGTGGCCAAACCTGAGTGGTAGTGTAAAGCAAAGCAGTGATTTGTATCCTCTTGTTCCATGGAGGAGCAGTAGATCAGAAAATCATGCTTACATACGTGTATGCTTTATGTATGCTACATATTCTTTTACAATATATACATACTATTCATACTCTCATTTTATATACAGACATATATGCATGTATATAATATGCGTGCATGTAGGTATGTGAAACAAGAATTAGTGTCTTTCCTTTTAATATTGAAATCCTAGATCACAAGAACCAGTGGTTTTCATAAAAGGTAACGTCGGTGTGTTTGTCATCTTTTCCTTTCAGTGGAAATTCTGCACTGAGTTCAAGGTTCAATCCTGCTGAGCACATACTGGTAAATACTTTTGCCTTTGAAACCTACAGTGTATTTTCAGTATCTTATTACAGGAGCTTTGGGCTACAAGCTTTGGGCTTGTACATGAAAGATGTTATAACATATTTAATATTCTACTCCATAATTACTTGGGAATATGCATCAAAGTTTGAGTATAGAAACGCCTCAAAATGATACTTTTTCAAAGGTTTTTGTGGACACTTTAGGTAGCAAGGTAGTCCCAAGGAATAAACTGTGTCTTTCTTGGAGACCTCACGGACCATAACTGCTTCAACAACCAGTTATCATTGAATAACTGCTTGTTGAAGTGCAACATGAATAACTGGAGCAGTGGAATGCTGTGATGGACATGAAATCTGTCCTTCTTAAATGAAGAACGTGCACAGATCACTCCATGTGTGTAGAGGAGATAATTTTTCAGTGAATGGAACAAACAGGTGGAACAAGTATTGTGGAGTGTGAAATATCCTTAGTGATTAGCTACTGATAGGATTTTGTTGAATAAATGTGTTAAAATTATACTTTCAAATAATACATTTGAAATAAGATGGGAAGTTTTATAATCCCTACCAACAAAGTACAGGAGTATGAATACAATAACTGTGTAAATGAATGGTGACAAAGGTACATGCAGACTTAATCTGAGTCTTTTTATTTAAAAATGAGTCATGTAAATATTTTTTAAGACTTAGAATTTTGTTAAATCCAATCTTTCCCTTACTTTTGTCTTTGCTTTGAGATTTATGACACAAACAACCGAGTAATCAGAATATATTTTAAATATTCACTATGATGTTAGTGTTATGTCTTAGAATCATAGAATCATAATGCTTTAGAATCATGGAATAGATCGGGTTGGAAGGGACCTCAAGGATGATTTAGTTCCAACCTCCTGATGCAGTCAAAGTGCTGATAGCTCAATCAAGTCCCATCCAGCCTGGTCTTGAACATCTCCAGGAACGGGGCATCGACAGCTCCTCTGGGAAGCTTGTTCCAGTGCCTCACCACCCTCTCAGTGAAAAATTTCCCTGTGGAAGCTATTGAAAGTCTCCCTTCCTTTAGTCAAACCATTCTCACTTGTCTTATGTATCTATCTAACCATGTATAAAGTTGATTATACATCCTGTTTATAATCTCCCTTTAAATACTGGGAGGCCACAATAAGGTCTCCCCAGAGCCTTCTCTTCTCCAGATTAGACCAGCCCACTTCCCTCAGTCTGTCCACATAGGACAGGTACTCCAGCCCCTTGATCACTTTTGTGGCCCTTCTCCAGAACTACTCCAAAAGCTTCACATCCGTCCTGTACTGGGTCCCAAGGCTTGGTCATGGTACTGCAGATGGAACCTCACAAGGCCAGAGCAGGTAGGACAACCACCTCCCTTGCCCTGCCTGCCATCTTTCTTGATGCAACCCAGAATATTGTTGGTATTCGGAACTGCTGTGGCTCATGTTAAGTTTTTCATCTACCAGGACCTCTAAGACCTTCTTGGCAGGGCTGCTCTTAGTGAGCTCTCCTAGTCTGTACGCATATCTGGGATTGCCCCAACCCAAAAACAACAACTTGCACTTGGCTTTGTTGAACCTCATTAGATTTACATGAGCCAACCTTCCAAGTTTTTCAGTGTTCCTCTGGACAACTTCATATTGATGTGTCAGCTACACCACTCAGCTTGGTGTCAACAGCAAAGTTTCTGAGGGAGCAGTCAATCCTATCATCTAGGTCACTGATAGATGTTATGGAGTACCAGTCCCAAAATCCCCAGGGGATGCCATTTGCTACCAGCCTCCATCTGCACATAAAGTCATTTACCACAACCTTCTGGCTATGACCTTCCAACCAGTTACTTATCCACCAAATAGTCCACCCTTTCAATCGGTATCTTTCAGATTTAGAGGTAAGGATGTGGTGTGGGAAGGCCTTTCACTACATCAATTGCCATTCTTTTGCCATCACTCCATCACAGAAAGCCAGCACATTGGTCAGGCATGATCCTCCCAAATATTCAGAAGACCTAAAGTTGGTATGCACAGCACTTTCAGAAAGGCTTTATTTTTTTCCTTTTTTTTTTTTTTTTTTTTTTTTTTGCTTCCAAGCTCTGAAGTTTCCTACTTCTATTTTTAGTGCTTTTAACTTTATCCTGTGTCTTTGTCTGTCCTATACTCCCACTGTTGTTGCCCCTCTGCTTATTCACAGCCTTTATTCAACTGCTTCCAATTACTACCTTCTTCAAAGAAGAAACTCCGGAAACTATTCCTT